ACTCCCCTCTATTCTCACCGGAACTCCACACTCCCCTCTATTCCACCGGAACTCCACACCCCTCTATTCTCACCGGAACTCCACACTCCCTCTATTCCACCGGAACTCCACACTCCCCTCTATTCCACCGGAACTCCACACTCCCCTCTATTCTCACCAGAACTCCACGCTCCCCTCTATTCCCACCGGAACTCCACTCCCCTCTATTCTCACCGGAACTCCACACTCCCCTCTATTCTCACCAGAACTCCACACTCCCCTCTATTCTACCGGAACTCCACACTCCCCTCTATTCATCGGAACTCCACACTCCCCTCTATTCTCACCAGAACTCCACACTCCCCTCTATTCTCACCGGAACTCCACACTCCCCTCTATTCTCACCAGAACTCCACACTCCCCTCTATTCTCACCAGAACTCCACACTCCCTATATTTCATCGGAACCACTCTATTCTCACCAGAACTCCACACTCCCCTCTATTCTCACCGGAACTCCACACTCCCCTCTATTCTCACCGGAACTCCACACTCCCCTCTATTCCACCGGAACTCCACACTCCCCTCTATTCTCACCAGAACTCCACACTCCCTCTATTCTCACCGGAACTCCACACTCCCCTCTATTCTCACCAGAACTCCACACTCCCCTCTATTCTCACCAGAACTCCACACTCCCCTCTATTCTCACCAGAACTCCACACTCCCCTCTATTCTCACCGGAACTCCACACTCCCCTCTATTCTCACCAGAACTCCACACTCCCCTCTATTCTCACCGGAACTCCACACTCCCCTCTATTCTCACCGGAACTCCACACTCCCCTCTATTCCACCGGAACTCCACACTCCCCTCTATTCTCACCAGAACTCCACACTCCCCTCTATTCTCACCAGAACTCCACACTCCCCTCTATTCTCACCGGAACTCCACACTCCCCTCTATTCTCACCGGAACTCCACACTCCTCTATTCCCACCGGAACTCCACACTCCCCTCTATTCTCACCAGAACTCCACACTCCCCTCTATTCTCACCAGAACTCCACACTCCCCTCTATTCTCACCAGAACTCCACACTCCCCTCTATTCTCACCGGAACTCCACACTCCCCTCTATTCTCACCGGAACTCCACACTCCCCTCTATTCTCACCAGAACTCCACACTCCCCTCTATTCTCACCGGAACTCCACACTCCCCTCTATTCTCACCAGAACTCCACACTCCCCTCTATTCTCACCAGAACTCCACACTCCCCTCTATTCTCATCGGAACTCCACACTCCCCTCTATTCACCAGAACTCCACACTCCCCTCTATTCTCACCGGAACTCCACACTCCCCTCTATTCTCACCGGAACTCCACACTCCCCTCTATTCCCACCGGAACTCCACACTCCCCTCTATTCTCACCAGAACTCCACACTCCCCTCTATTCTCACCGGAACTCCACACTCCCCTCTATTCTCACCAGAACTCCACACCCCTCTATTCTCACCAGAACTCCACACTCCCCTCTATTCTCACCGGAACTCCACACTCCCCTCTATTCTCACCAGAACTCCACACTCCCCTCTATTCTCACCGGAACTCCACACTCCCCTCTATTCTCACCGGAACTCCACACTCCCCTCTATTCCCACCGGAACTCCACACTCCCCTCTATTCTCACCAGAACTCCACACTCCCCTCTATTCTCACCAGAACTCCACACTCCCCTCTATTCTCACCGGAACTCCACACCCTCTATTCTCACCAGAACTCCACACTCCCTCTATTCTCACCGGAACTCCACACTCCCCTCTATTCCACCGGAACTCCACACTCCCCTCTATTCTCACCGGAACTACACTCCCCTCTATTCCACCAGAACTCCACACTCCCCTCTATTCTCACCAGAACTCCACACTCCCCTCTATTCTCACCGGAACTCCACACTCCCCTCTATTCTCACCAGAACTCCACACTCCCCTCTATTCTCACCAGAACTCCACACTCCCCTCTATTCTCACCGGAACTCCACACTCCCCTCTATTCCACCAGAACTCCACACTCCCCTCTATTCCCACCAGAACTCCACACTCCCCTCTATTCTCACCAGAACTCCACACTCCCCTCTATTCCACCGGAACTCCACACTCCCCTCTATTCTCACCGGAACTCCACACTCCCTCTATTCCACCAGAACTCCACGCTCCCCTCTATTCTCACCGGAACTCCACACTCCCCTCTATTCCCAGGAACTCCACACTCCCCTCTATTCTCACCGGAACTCCACACTCCCTCTATTCCACCAGAACTCCACACTCCCCTCTATTCTCACCAGAACTCCACACTCCCCTCTATTCCACCGGAACTCCACACTCCCCTCTATTCCACCGGAACTCCACACTCCCCTCTATTCCCACCGGAACTCCACATCCCCTCTATTCCACCGGAACTCCACACTCCCCTCTATTCCACCAGAACTCCACACTCCTCTTCTCACCGGAACTCCACACTCCCCTCTATTCCACCGGAACTCCACACTCCCTCTATTCTCACCGGAACTCCACACTCCCCTCTACACCGGAACTCCACACTCCCCTCTATTCCACCAGAACTCCACACTCCCCTCTATTCTCACCGGAACTCCACACTCCCCTCTATTCCACCGGAACTCCACACTCCCCTCTATTCCACCACTCCACACTCCCCTCTATTCACCGGAACTCCACACTCCCCTCTATTCCCACCGGAACTCCACACTCCCCTCTATTCTCACCGGAACTCCACACTCCCCTCTATTCCACCGGAACTCCACACTCCCCTCTATTCTCACCGGAACTCCACACTCCCCTCTATTCCACCGGAACCACACTCCCCTCTATTCCACCGGAACTCCACACTCCCCTCTATTCTCACCGGAACTCCACACTCCCCTCTATTCTCACCGGAACTCCACACTCCCCTCTATTCTCACCAGAACTCACACTCCCCTCTATTCCACCAGAACTCCACACTCCCCTCTATTCTCACCGGAACTCCACACTCCCCTCTATTCCCACCGGAACTCCACACTCCCCTCTATTCTCACCGGAACTCCACACTCCCCTCTATTCCCACCGAACTCCAACTCCCCTCTATTCTCACCGGAACTCCACACTCCCCTCTATTCCACCGGAACTCCACACTCCCCTCTATTCCCACCGGAACTCCACACTCCCCTCTATTCTCACCAGAACTCCACGCTCCCCTCTATTCCACCGGAACTCCGCACTCCCCTCTATTCTCATCGGAACTCCACACTCCCCTCTATTCTCACCAGAACTCCACACTCCCCTCTATTCTCACCGGAACTCCACACTCCCCTCTATTCTCATCGGAACTCCACACTCCCCTCTATTCTCACCAGAACTCCACACTCCCCTCTATTCCAACCGGAACTCTCACTCCCCATCTATTCTCACCGAAACTCCACACTCCCCTCTACTTCCCACCAGGAACTCCACACTCCCCTCTATGCCCAATTCCCACCGGAACTCCCCACTCCCCTCTATTCCCACCAGAACTCCACACTCCCCTCTATTCCCACCGGAACTCCACACTTCCCTCTATTCCCACCGGAACTCCACACTCCCCTCTATACTCACCGGAACTCCACACTCCCCTCTATTCTCACCGGAACTCCACACTCCCCTCTATTCTCACCGGAATTTCCACACTCCCCTCTATTCTCACCAGAACTCCACACTCCCCTCTATTCTCACCAGAACTCCACCGCTTTCCTCTATTCTCACCGGAAACTCCCACCGCTCCCCTCTATTCTCACCAGAACCTCCACACTCCCCTCTATTCTACCAGACATGGCGCGCAGTCCTCACCATAGCGCGAGAGGAGGAATCGCGATGCTGCGCGAGGCAAAACTTAAATAGAAAATATTTGTTGGAATTAAATGAAGTTGTAAGTCTGTTGAAGCATCTTGTCTTGCAAAAATTCGAGTGCGTTTTAAATAGTGTTCATCAGTAACACTTTTGAAACCGACAATCATCATATCTTTTGCCCTGACCTGACCAATGTCTCCCAAATGTTGGTTGTTCACTTGTTTAGAATTTAATTTATATCGTGAGCATTGTCGTATATTGCATACGTAACGTACATTAAAGAAGTGATCTTCGTGATGATGTATTAACTAGATGCATGTAAGTATGACGTTGCGGGAGTAATCGAGCCCAAAGGCAGGCGTGATAAACACAGTGAGTATGGTGGCAACTCCCTCACTAGAGCTGAGTGCTGGATGATCTCAGCGACGTCCGCATTCAGTACGCCCCTCTATAATAACCTCGGGCCTGGAGGACGCTCGGTTCGAATTCGTGAGAGCGCTGATTCGGATTTTCCAAGAGGCGAGGGCGATATAAAGCGACGTCTTGATGATTGGCGGAAACTGCTCCTGCTCAACCACCAGCTGCGGCTACTTCAGCGCCTAAAAGCCCCAAGAAGAAGCGCGCCGCTCCAAAGGCCAAGAAGGTCGGCCCCAGCGTGTCCGAGCTCATCCTCAAGGCTCTGGCCAGCAGCAAGGAGAGGAACGGCGTGTCTCTTCCTGCGCTCAAAAAGTCGCTTGCTGCCGGAGGATACGACGTGGAGAAGAACAATGCACCGCGTGAAGTTGGCCATCAAGAAGCTCGTGGCCAAAGACGCCGTGGCGCAAGCGTGAAGGGCAGCGGCGCGTCTGGCTCTTTCAAACTCAACAAGGAAAGGCTGCCGCAAAGGCGAAGCCCAAGTCGTCAACGGCAAAGCCCGCAGCTAAAAGCCCGCGGCAGCCAAGAAGGTGAAGAAGCCCGCGGCAGCCAGAAGACCGCGCCCAAGAAGTCTCCCAAGAAAGCAAAGAAGCCCGCGGCTGCCAAGGCGGCCAAGAGCCCCAAAAAGGTGAAGTCGGCTGTTAAGCCCAAGAAGGCGGCGAAGAGCCCAGCCAAGCCCACGGCTGCGAAGCCCAAGGTCGCTAAGCCCAAGACCGTCAAGGCCAAGGCCGCCAAACCCAAGGTGGCCAAGCCCAAGAAGGCCGCGGCCAAGCCCAAGAAGACTGCGCCAAAGAAGTGAATCCGATGGGACGACCGACGCTCGATTCACTCCACCTCAACGGCTCTTTTCAGAGCCACCCACTTCGTTAAAAAAGTGAACCAGATGCTGCTGCGCTTCAATTAGTTCAAATAACTGTGTAACATTTCACCCACTCGATGTGTTTTAAGCATTGATGTGATGGGAGTGATCGAGCCCGAAAGCAGGGATCACAAACACAGGCGAGGCGGGTGGCAGCTCCCTCACTCGAACTGAGTGCAGAGTAATCTCAGCGACGTCAGCATTCTCGCTGGCGATTCTAATCTAAATCCAGATTCAAAATCGATGCATTCTTGACGAACCTCCAATTTTGATTATGTGTTGCACCTCTTCATTCCGTCATCATGCTACTGGTGCCAAATATGGAATTTCGTCTAAAAATGTATTGATTCCAGACAGCTTTACTCAATTTGCCTTCATTCGCTCGTTCCGCCTTTTCACTTTGTTTTTGTTTTGTAAACATTGCGGTGCACCATCTAAACTTAAAAGTTAGTTCATCTTGTTCACTTGCAAACAAGACCTTACACCGATTATTCACTGCACGTGCAATCTTGCAACAGATGGCGTTCCTCTGGCGTTCGCTGCGGGTGTGCCAATATCATTCCAGAGTGCTTCGAAGAAGGGCCATTGCCCAAAACGTCGCATATTATACATGTCAAGGAAGTGTTATTGACGACGGTGGAGGGTTTTCTTCGTCGCAGAGGTTAAAGGTGGAAGGTTTAAGGCGGAGCCATCGCGGAGGGCAGGGGTGGTCGGTGACGTCGCCACGCTTCGGGTATAAAGGCGGCTGCTGCTGCAAGCTGAGCGCGCAGTCTCTCGCGAGGAGCTTTGTCACAAGTAGTCGCAATGTCTGGACGCGGTAAAGGCGGTAAGGGGCTCGGCAAGGGAGGCGCAAAACGCCATCGCAAGGTGCTGCGCGACAACATCCAGGGCATCACCAAGCCCGCCATCCGCCGCCTCGCTCGCGCGCGGCGGTGTGAAGCGCATCTCGGGCCTCATCTACGAGGAGACCCGCGGCGTCCTGACGGTCTTCCTTGAGAACGTCATCCGCGACGCCGTCACCTACACGGAGCACGCCAAGCGCAAGACCGTCACCGCCATGGACGTGGTCTACGCCCTCAAGCGCCAGGGCCGCACTCTCTACGGCTTCGGAGGCTGAGCGCCCATCTCTCGCACACTAAGCCAACCAAAGGCTCTTTTCAGAGCCACCCACCTCTTCGAAAACTGCTTGCGCCAAGTGTTGCCAAACACGCTCTGAATGGAGCACATGTCCTGGGTTGTTGTGAGCGTGCTGGACGTTCGCTTGTTGAGTTGGCGAGTCTTCATCTGCTTCCACATGAATGAATGAAAGAATCATGATATTCACGTCACATTTAACAAGGCGTAATTCTTGAACGCCTTAATACAGTACCCATTTCTGGTATTTGCGTGAATTATTTCCAGCTGCAGCCGATTCCGATATTACGTAGAGCATTTGGCGCCACAATCTTACAGCACACTCGTCCTAATTGACGTAGCGTGCCGGAATGCTACTCTCCACCTGTACAGCACAACAGCGAAGTTATTTTTCTCCACCGAGCGCTTGTATTTTTCCAAATTGCGTTCATAAAACGCCCGTGCGCCGTATTAGACGAGTGGTGAAACATTCCCTCGTAAGAAAAAAAAAACCCACGCTCAAAACACAATATACTGTATTGGGTTTTCCAGTCATCCTTTTTAAAACAAAGGCAATGCCATGGCTGCAATTCACTAATATACATGTTTGGACACTACATTGTGTTATATTCACAAGTCCTTTTGGCAGTAAAATCGATATTAAAGTGAACATCGCGTCCGCGTTTCTCATTGGAGGCTGATGGAGAGGGACGGTAAAAGAGCCACTCAGCAGCGCCGCGCACTACGATCCTCTGATTTGCATCTCGCCTCCTATAAAAGGAGCTCAACGCGCGAGCGACATCCACATTCGCTTCCCGTCTGTTCTGACCTGAAGCTGCTGCCTACGACGCGTCGACATGCCCGATCCCCGCATCAAAGAGCGCTGGGCCGGCCAAGGTTCCTGCTCCCAAGAAGGGCTCCAAGAAGGCTGTGACCAAGGCTACGCGCAAGGATGGCAAGAAGCGACGCCACCGCAGGAAGGAGAGCTACGCCATTTACATCTACAAGGTGATGAAGCAGGTGCACCCCGATACCGGCATCTCGTCCAAGGCAATGAGCATCATGAACTCGTTCGTCAACGACATCTTCGAGCGCATCGCTTCCGAGGCGTCCCGCCTGGCGCACTACAACAAGCGCTCCACCATCACTTCTCGGGAGATCCAGACCGCAGTGCGACTGCTGCTCCCCGGCGAGCTGGCCAAGCACGCCGTGTCGGAGGGCACCAAGGCCGTCACCAAGTACACAAGCTCCAAGTGAAGCCTCGACTCCACCATTAATTACAAAGGCTCTTTTCAGAGCCACCCACCTCTCCGAACCTGCTTGTACCAGTCCTAGCAGGAGTACGAAACAAAACTTCCAACAAAGCCCCGGTTCACGCGGGGACATTGTTCGCTCATTGAGTGGAATGGAGAGATGGAACGCATTTTAACCTGTTTCCACGTGAATAAAAGCGATAACAATATTCATGGCACATCATGTTCACCAGCAGGCATTTCTTGGACTTGTTTGTCCATTGATTTCATCTGCAGCCCATTCAGATATTACATTGGATATTTGGTGCCAAAACCTTGCAATGCAATATATTTAATTCGTGGTTGTATTTTCGGGCAGGAACTAACATTTTGCACGTGTGCATCTATGTAAAAGTAAGCGCCTAGCATGGATGACTCGTGCAGTATAATTGATGATCATCATCTCAATGCCAAGAGAATAGATATCTATCCCTGTGATCACCTCTTTCCGACAATTTTACGTATTAACTTTGGAGCTTTCGTGACTGCAGGAATTATTCTTTGGTTCTTTCGGTAAAGTCACGTATATAAAAAAAACAAATTGGTGATATCTGTCTGCTTATATGTCTGTCTATAATTTTTTCTGGTTCGATTTTATGTCGCTATTTCATTATACCTGATGATGATTGCTTGTGTTGCAATCGAAACGTCGTATGCTATTATTTAATTTATTATTTGTTTTTATACGTGACTTTACCGAAAGAACAAAAATCATTTACTGCAGTCACGAAAGTTCTAAAATTAAGATTGATGAAGAAGAGTTGACGACTCGAGATCATTGCACGCTGCCAACCAATCAGCACGCGCCCCTTCTTCGCACGTCACGACTCCGCTGACCAGTGAGCGCGCGCTCTGGGCTACATAAGCCGCCTTCTCCTCCCCGCCTGTGAGAATCTTTGCCCTCACCAAGCCATGGCTCGCACCAAGCAGACGGCTCGCAAGTCCACGGGCGGCAAGGCCCCCGCAAGCAACTCGCCACCAAGGCGGCCCGAAAGAGCGCTCCGGCCACGGGCGGCGTCAAGAAGCCTCACCGCTACAGGCCCGGCACCGTCGCTCTGCGCGAGATCCGCCGCTACCAGAAGTCCACCGAGCTGCTCATCCGCAAACTGCCCTTCCAGCGCCTCGTCAGGGAGATCGCGCAGGACTTCAAGACCGACCTGCGCTTCCAGAGCTCCGCTGTCATGGCTCTGCAGGAGGCCAGCGAAGCGTACCTTGTCGCGCTCTTCGAGGACACCAACCTGTGCGCCATCCACGCCAAGCGCGTCACCATCATGCCCAAGGACATTCAGCTCGCCCGCCGCATTCGTGGCGAGCGCGCTTGAACGCCCAGCTCGGCCCTCAAAGCACAACACAAAGGCTCTTTTCAGAGCCACCACTTACTCGCGAGAAAGCTTCCATGTGTGTCCTTCAAAGTTCGGGTGCCGGAAACCTTCGTTTGCTGGTCACGGCTCTCACGAGTCGTCAGGCGTAAGCGACAATCAAGTTCATTTTCTATACCCCGCCGCTCATATTTTTCAACATCACACGTTGGTGTTGTATATAAGCGTTGTGAAACCATGTTTACATAATGTACAACAAAGGTTTATTGGTGAAATGTATTTTACCTCAGAGTCGCGTGGTGGGTGTGGAGGCCTAGCACCGTGCAGAGCCTCCCGCCTCGCCTGATTTTGCCACCCGGCTGACGCTGGGTACGGGTGCCGTTTCCCCCCCCCCCACCGCGCTACAATAATACTGTGTAATCGCTATAATTTAATAATCTACCGACCCTATAACAGTAATAGCACACATTGTGGTGGGGGGGGAGTAAAGAGGACGTGAAACTTAGATGAATTTACCTCAGAGTCGCGTGTTAATGCGTGCGCCTATTTTTAACGGGAATTAAAGATGGCGTCCACCCCGCAACTGCTAGCCCGTCGCTAGGCGTTGGCAGGGGCAACCGGCGTCCAATGAAAGTGCGTATGGTCCGACATCCACACACAGACAGACAGACATTCACGATTTATATATATAGATTAAACCCAAAGATATTGGTTTATGCTGTTTCAAGCCCGAGCTGATAAGAAGTTCACATTTTGCAAACTGAGACTGAATTATTCACGCACATATATTTTTAGGCATTGCCCGAACAGGCGGTTAAAAAAAGATATCTATACACCGTATAGGCACGTGGGCGATCAATCACGAGCTCAAGGCTATCACAATGATTTCTTATAACCAATGCGGTCCCTCAAAATGATGATTATAATCAATAATACATTAATATTTGCGGAATCCGCTTATAAGTTTGACTTGCCAGCACGCGCCCATAAATTAACTCTATCATGCTTAAAACTTGAACCTATTAGGTACGTGTATCGCATTGTTTAATTCGTAAGATGCGTGTGCGCATTAAAAATATATGGATACGAATAATGAAAGTCAACATCGAATCCTCGCGTCCCGGCTTTCATTGGTGGCTCAAGGAGAGGGCGGGACTCGACCGAGAGGAGCCAATCAGCAGCGGCGCGCTCTACGATCCTCGTCTCCGCTATAAAAGCCGCTCCCGTGGTGCGTGTTAACGTCACAAATCGTTCGTACTTTGTCTCCAGTGCTTTTTGCATCCTAGGTCCGTAACGATGTCTGGACGCGGCAAGACCGGTGG